GGAGAAAGGCCTCTCAGTATTTCCACAGCTGCACATCTGGACAGGGCCCACCTGCTGTGCTCAGGCCTCTCCACACCTGCCACAACCCAGCTTCTGCCTCTCCAAGGGGGTCATTATCACTGAGAGGAGTGCGGTGGGGGCGTATATAAGAGAGGGGCCACCCCTCTGGGCTGGGACAAGGCCTAACCCCCTTGTTTGGCCCCCCAGACACGGATGAGTGCAGCTCCGGGCAGCATCCATGCCACGAGTCTGCTGTCTGCGTCAACACACTGGGCTCATACACATGCCACTGCAGCCCGGGCTGGAAGCCGAAAGTGAGGGTCCCAAACACCCAAAAGGGCCCTGTCTGTGAAGGTATGTTCTGACCCCACAACCTCCACCCTCCCAACACACTCAGACACTCACACACCTAACATGCCACTGTCCTGTTCCCTGCAGAGATGCCCTTCACCCACTGGACCCTGCTCTCAGGTGTCAACAGCCAGGTGAGTGGCCCCAGCAGGGACCAGGGGGCAGGAAACGCCTCCACACAGCACCAGGATTTATTCTGAGCTTCCCAGCCACCCTAGAGAAGGCCTAACTCTCTCTTCTTTCCTCTCCCAAGAGTCTCTCTGCCTTCTTTAACAAAATTCAGGATCTGGGCAGAAACTTCGAGTCGGACTCAGCCAATGACACCATCAAGGTAAGGGCAGTTTGTAAAAGCCTTCCACAGAGAATGGCAGTGCTTTGGGTCTTGAAGGAGACAGCCCCCAACACATCAGGCTCCTAGGTCAGAATCCTGCCTTTCCCAGGGCTAGTGGAAGATTGGACACTGGTTGTTGTACACACTGTTAGGCTATTACCATCTTTCCTCCTGCTGCTCCTGCGCATCAAGATTATGTCATTATTGATATGTCTAAGGAAGACTGATTTCTAAGGGGCTATTTTCCAGGGGCAAGGATTCCCCAGAGAATCTCATCCAGTGCCACCTTTGCCCCCAAAATAGGCCTTCTCTGGACTCTGTTCTTTGGGCCTGAGTGGCCAAGGTCATCGTGCCACCCCTCGGGCCTGCGCCTCACTAGCTCCATGTCCCCATACCTCCAGGACCTCATACAGCTGGTGGATGAGCTGCTGGAGACCCCTGGAGATCTGGAGACCCTGCCCCGCTCACAGCAGCACTGTGTGGCCACTCACCTGCTGGTTGGCCTGGAGGATGCCCTGAGAAGACTGAGCAAGAACCTGCCCGATGGGCCGTTGACCTTCAATTTCTCTACAGGCACAGGTAAGCACCTGGTTCTGCCCCAATGACCCTGCTCTGCCTCTTCCCTGCCTCATTCCTCTCTCATCTCACTAGAGCCCAGTGACCACACTTGTATCTCAATGTTACTCTCATAAATAAAAGATTAAACAGATATTCATAAATCTGTAAATAATATATATTTTCATTGTAACAGAAATTATCAGCAGCAAAATAAATATGATGAAGACATTAACAAAACAGAAATAGCTTCAAAATAAAACAAGGTATTTAATGTTGAAGAATACAAATTAATATTATTTGACATATAAGTACAATTTCTTTTATTAAGGCATAATTCAAATTATATAAAATGAACTATTTTAAAACGTGCATTTCAGTAGACCCCAAATATTCATAAAGAGTACAACCGCTGCCTCTAGCTCTAAAATGTTTCCATCAGCCAAAACTAAGCACTAACCAATCACGTCTCATTCCTCTGTTCCTTCAGCCCCTGGGAAACACTGATGTGCTTTCTGTTTCTCTGGATTTGCCTCGTCAGGATATTTGTGGGGTTTTTTGTTTGTTTGTTTGTTTGTTTGTTTGTTTTTATTGCATCATAGCTGTGTACATTAATACTGTCATGGGGTACAGTGTGCTGTTTTATATACAATTTGAAATATTTTCATCAAACTGGTTAACATAGCCTTCATGTCATTTTCTTAGTTATTGTGTTAAGACATTTATATTCTACATTTAGAAAAATTCACGTGTACCCTTACAAGATGAACCATAGGTGTGATCCCACCAATCACCCTCCCTCCCTCCCTCTCCCCTTTCCCCATATTCTTGGGCTAAAATTGGGTTATAGCTTTCCTATGAAAGCTATAAATTAGTTTCATAGTAGGGCTGAGTACGTTGGATACTTTTTCTTCTTCTTCTTCTTCCCTTCTTGAGATACTTTGCTAAGAAGAATATTTGATATAAATGGAATCATACAATCTGTGACCTTTTAGTCTAGCTTCTTTACTGTAACGTTGCTAAGGTACATCCATGTCACCACTATCAGTATTTCATTGGTTTCCAGGGCTTAATATCATTCCATCATATGGATATACCACCTTTTGTTTAACTTACCCATCCATTGATGGACGTTTGGGTTGTTTCTACCCTTTGACTATTGTGGATAATGCTGCTATGAATATTGGTGTACAAGAATTATTTCAATAACTGTTTTCAGTTCTTTTTTTTTCTTTTGCTTGTTTGTTTTTGAAATAGAGCCTTGCTCTCTGTGGCCCAGGCTAGACTGCAGTGCCATCATCACAGCTCACTGAAACTCAAACCCCTGGCCTCAAATGATCCTCTTGCCTCAGTTTCCCTAGTAGCTTGGACTACAGACACTTGCCACCACATCCAGCTAATTTTTCTAAATTTTTCAACTGGATCTCACTCTAGCTCTGGCTGGTCTTAAATTCCTGGCCTCAAGCAATCCTCCTGCCTTAGGTCTCCAAGAGTATTAGGATTACAACATGAGCCACTGTGTCCCGTCTGTTTTCAGTTCTTTTTAGTACGTACTTAGGAGTGGAATTGCTGGGTAATATGGTAATTCTATGTTCAACTTTTTGAGGAACCACCAAACTGTTTATATTCCCACCAGAAACACTCCAGGGTTACAACCTCCACACCTTCAGCAAATTTTGTTTTTATTATAGCCTTTCTACTGTACATGAGGTGAGATCTCATTGTGGTTTGAATTCGCACATCACAAATAGTTAGCAATTTTTAACATAATTTCATGTGCTTGTTTGCCATTTGTGTATAATTTTTGGAGAAATAGCTATGCAAATCCTTTATCCATTTTCTAATTGGGTTGTCTTGTGGCTGTTGAGTTGTAAGAGCTCTTTATATATATGAGATACGTAATATCTTCTTCTGCAAATATTCTGCAAACACCTTCTTTTCTCTAGATTGGTTTTTCAGCTTGATAGTGTTTGCACTGCAGCTGTTTTAAGTATCAAGGAATCCCATTTTATTTATGTTTTTATTTCTGTTGATCATACATTTGATGTCATATTTAAGAATTCATTGTCAAATCCAACACCAGGAAGATTTACTACTATGTTTTTCTACAAAAAGTTCTAGTGTTAGTTTCTAAATTTAGAAATCTTGACCTATTTTGAGTTCATTCTTGTGTATTTTGTGAAGGGTCAATTTTTGTCTGTTGCATGTCAATAGCCAGTAATCCCAGCATCACTTGTTGAAGAGTCTGTTCTTCTCTCCATTGATTAGTCTCAGCACCTTTTGTTGGGAATCAACTAACCATTGATGTTTGGGTTCATTTCCAGGCTCTCAATTCTATGCTGTTGGTCTGTATGTCTGTGTTTATGCCAACACCATAGTGTTTTGCTTACTGCAAAAAAAAAAAATTTATTTAGTTTTGAAACCAGATAATATAAGTCCTCCAAATTTGTTGTCCTATAAGATTGTTGTGTGTATTTGGGTGCCTTGCTGAGTACCCATCCACTGTGCAGGGGTTGGGGACTGCAGTAGTTAGGGTGTTTAATTTCTTTCAAAAACGTCTGTAGTTTTCTGTGTTACAAGTGTTAAGCCTCCTTGGTTAAATATATTCCTAATATTTTCCTGATGATTTTTTCATCTTTATCTGTAAGAGATTTTGGTCTATAGCGTTCTTCCCTTGTGATGTCTTTATCTGGTTTTCTTTTCTTTTTTTTCTTTTTTCTTTTTTTCCTTTAGGCAGAGTCTTACTATGTCGCCCTCAGTAGAGTGCTGTAGGGTCACAGCTCATGGCAACCTCCAACTCTTGGGCTTGAGTGATTCTCTTGCCTCAGCCTTCCAAGTAGCTGGGACTACAGGCACCTGCTACAACACCTGGCTACTTTTGTAGTTGTTGCAGTGTCATTGTTGTTTTAACAGGCCCAGGCTCGACTCGAACCTACTGGCCTAAGTGTATATGGCTGGTGCCATAGCCACTGTGCTATGAGCACCAAGCCTCTTTATCTGATTTTCTTATCAGAGTAATATTAACATCATTGAATTATCCATTTTTTAAAATTTTTATTAAGTCATAAACACATAAATCATGTATGCATTAATGCATTTATGGGGTACAATGTGCTTATTTTATATACAATTTGGAATGCTTATATCGAACTAGGTATCCTATATCCTTCACCTCATTTACTTAATTATTATGTTAAGACATTTATACTCTATACTCAATAGATTAGACATGTACCCTTGCAGTATGCACCATAGGTTTATTCCTGCAATTTACCCTCCCTCCATCAATCCTCTCCCCTCCCCTCCTATATCCCTCTTCTTTCCTCCTTCATCCTGGGCTATAGTTGTGATTTATCTTTCATATGAATGTGTGAGTAATTGTAGATTGGTTTCATAATAGTGTTGAGTTCATGGGATACTTTTTCTTCCATTCTTGAGATATTCTACTAAGTAGGATATATTCCAGCCCCATCCATGTAAACATAAAAGAGGTAAAGTCTCCAACTTCTTTAAGGCTGCATAATATTCAGCCTTATGAACATATACCACCATTTGTTAATCCATTCATGGGTCCATGAGCACTTGGGCTTCTTTCAATACTTGAATTAAGCTGCAATAAACAATCTGATGCAAATACTTTTGTTATAAAGTGATTTTTGGTCTTTTGGATATATACCTAGTAGAGGAGTTGGAAGATCTAATGGCAGGTCTACTTTTAGATCCCTGAGTGTTCTC